ACATCATTGTGTTGGTGAGATGGGAAAGTTTCCCCCTTTAGGTCTTTAAATAGGGGCATGGGTAGAAGTCCTGTATAGGAAGGAAGGCAAACTATATATTTTAGGATAGAATATACCTTTTGTTTTTTTTAACGCTGTATACCCTTTCCTGCCCCTATGATAAACCAGTAATAAGATTAAATGATTTGAAGTTCTGTCTCCTTTCTCAAATAACGCTACAAGATATTGTCTGCACAAATTTACTTCTGAATGAGTTCTGAAAGATTGTTTTGGGCAGTTATGGCATACCAAGAAAGGATTCTGTCCATTCCCCCACCTTTTCCATTGATGTTGGCCACTCAACAATATTTTTTTAAAAAATGGAGAAAATATTGTCTTTCAGAAAAGCCAGGGTTGTTGACAAAAAGAGTACACAATTTCCTGCATTTAGATGAGTTAATCAACAACTGACATGGGATGCTTATTTCAGAAATAAGGTGTCACCTCTGTGGTAAGCATTTGGTGTTTTCAATCAATACAAAATTCTGACTACTTATGAGCTAATAACATGCATTGGTTTCTGGGAATTGTTGGTGTTCTTCTCAGGATGTTGGCTACAATTATGTTTCTGAGCTAATATAATGAATGGGATTAAATTCTCGTAATACAGGAAATGTTGATTCTAGTTGTAAGGAGTAATGTACTTGGAAATTGCAATTCTGTTGAGTGAATTCAACTTCAGAGTAATTTATTTACCCCTTTTTCCTTTCTTATACAAGTGCCCAGTTTCTTTATGAAGAAAATGCATTTTGAAAACATACCTGCTGTTATCCAGACTGAACAGTTATATGCTCATTAGGTGAGCAACAAAAGTTCTGTTGGAAAGAATTCTAAACGAGGCATGATCTCCAAAGGGATGAGGTAGAAGCAGGAGTTTGGGTAGTTTGCAGTTATTGATATGGGGAAAAACAACGTCTAGAAAGTGTCCAGACTATATTCACTAATTTCATTTACTTATTAAAAATATCCCTTGATTGCCTTTTGAGGCACAGTAGAGAATGAATAGTATACCAGTGAATTCTCTCTTCATTTGACCCCAACATTTAATCAAAATATACATTTGCAGGACTTTTCTAGTGCAGCTCTTGAAGGTGTGATTGATTACAACAGGGAAGGAGATTGGTCCTCTGCTTCCATTGACAGTCGCAGTTTCTACGACTGCCATAATACATTAAATGCAATCTTATAAATTTTGAGAGTCAGTTTTGTTACATTTGATACTGCTTACACACATGCTTTATGAAGTTAGTTGGTCTTTTTAAAGTTAGTTTGACAGAAAGTTCAATCAGTGGAACGACTTGCCTCCAGAAATTGTGGGTGCTCCATCACTGGAAGTTTTTAAGAAGAGATTGGACAGTCAATGTCTGAAGTGGTGTAGGGTTTCCTGCCTGAGCAGGGGGTTAGACTAGAAGACCTCCAAGGTCCCTTCCAACTCTGTTATTCTGAAAGATAGTTTCTCACTTTCAACATTTAACATAATTTCTAAAAAACATTGATAGCAAAATGCAGATAATGTCTTGTGATCTATCGTAGCTTTGTGGCAGCCTTGTAAAATACCTCTTTGCCTAAGAGCTGTTTTAAAGTAACTGATTGAAAACATTTAATAACTTGATTCTAAGACATTTCTTGGAATGAAAGTTAACTCACTAACATGCTTAAAAACCGGTTGTATACTTGTTTTTGCTCTGTATTATTGGTAGCAGGTATGTGAAACTGGGCTAACAAAATGAGTAACTTTCTTTGCTAGTTTTAACTTTGCAGCTTTCACCATCTGGAAATGAAGCAGGCAGATTTTGTTTTCATACCAGTTAAGAATTCAAGAATACTGCCAGTTTTGTATTCTGAAAGGTAGAAGAGGTTTTGTACCGCATATTGTATGCATCTTTAAAATAGCAATATTTTGTGCTTGATCTTGCAGAAATCCTAATAATGTAGATTACTGTTGTTCTTTTAACATGTAAGGGGAATTGAAACTACTTGACTTGCCCAAGGCCACCCATTACTAATATGGTAATTGGGTCTATATTTGAATGTGTCATATTTACTTGTGTTATATTAAAACTAAGGCACTTTGTTAACATTTCTGTACACTTAACAGCTAAAGTTTAAAAAGTGCAATGGGTTTTAAGATAACTGCTTTTTTCATCTATAGATGAAGATTTATTTAGATTTCTGATTGCAGAACTCTGTGCTAAATATTTCTCTGTTATCTAGTAAGACAATTCACAGCGTGCAGTGGGTTGAGCAAAATCAGAATTGAAATATAGATAGTCCTTGACATACAACCACAGTTGAGCCCAAAATTTATGTTGCTAAATGAGAAATTGGTTAAGTGAGCTTTGGCCCATTTGCTAAGTGAATCACTGCCATTATTAAATTAGTAACACATTTGTTAAGTAAAGCTTGTTTCCCTATTGACTTTGCTTGTCAGAAGGTTGCAAAAGGGAATCACATAACCCCAGGACACTGAAACCATCATAAATGTGGATTGTCAAGCATCTGAATATAAATCACGTGACCATGGGGATGTTGCAGTGATCATAAGTGTGAAAAATTATCATAAGTTACTTTTTTCAGCATTGTTGTGACTTTGAATGGTCACTAAATGACCTGTTGTGAGTTGAGGACTACTTGTACATTATTTTGGTAAAGTAAGCTGTAGATAACTACTACTAGAAGCAATAAAGTAATATAGGTGGGATTTTTTTTCCGTTTGAGAAAGTTAAGAATGAGGATTACTTAGGTGCATGTCCTTCTTTATAGGGGTGCTGTTTTACCATGATCTTCCTGATTTAGGAGATACTCTAGTTGACAAAAGGTTGATAGGAGCATTAGGCCAGAATGGAAGCTTACCCAATATCAGACATCCTGGTACCCATCCTGGACAGAGCAGAGTTGAGAGAGACACACCCTGACTGTGTCAAAATTGTAGGAAGACTTAAAATTCTGTCAGAAAAGAACAAAGGAGACAGACTGAGAGAAAAACAAATAAAAGCAAATTGAGTGAAAGAAGAGGTTATTAGGAAAAGCTTGTACAGAAATAGGCAATGCTTCGGTTAAAGGGCAGGGAAGATGAGGTAGACAAGTTACAAGACAGCATATCAATTGGTTGACTTGAGACTACTAAACATGGCCAAGACTAGGATGTTCTAATTTGTGGGCAGGGAAGAGTAAGGAGTTATGGAAGTTTTATGGCAGGTGTATTTTTACAGCTTGTTTTACAATTTTGTTTCTTGCCTTATTGGCAAGAAAACCTACTATGAGTTTTAGCAGATGTTGTAAAAAACCAGAGGCTGTTTGCATCTCAGGTTCTCTGTGAGTAAGGTAGGCCAAAGACACAAGATTCCATTTACAATGGGAGGTCTTCCTTGCTTGCTTTTCGAAGCATCCCCTTCCCCCTTGACATTAATGTCCATGCTCAACAAAAATAAAATAGAATAAGCTCTAGCAATAAAATAACCTTTATTGCTTTTCAGCAGTCAGAACATAAGGTATGCATTTGTAATTCAAAAAAGATGATCAAGAGCCGTGGGTATTAGTAAGCATTGATAACTTGTCCCCTTTTTAAACTATTGAAATTGGCTGCAATTACTGTCAGCTGGCAGTGAATTCTACAGTCTTATGTGTTGTGTTTCCTTCTCTCTCTACATCTATCTAAATTTGAAAAACAGAAGTTAACTCTTCGTATTATCTAAGCCATGTGTGAATTTATGCATCAGTATGTTTTTCCTTGCTCTCCTTTTGCTCCAAGCTGAATAGCGCTAGTTACTACTACAGCTGATTATTTGGTTGCCCCCATTTTTTTTTTTTTGCATCTTGTTTGGTTTCTATCATAACTTTAAAGTGCAGTGGCCAGATCTGTATACAATACTCCAAGTGTGTTCTTGCCATGGATTTGTATAAAGACATTACTGTATTGGCAGTTGGGTCTTCAAGTGTGGAATTTGACTTTTTGCAGCTTTTGCACACTGGGCTGATACTTTCATTAAGCTATGTATCATGACTCTTTAAGTTGCTTTCCTACAACATGCATAATTTTACATTCATTTGCCCTTCATTTACCTGGTGTGAGGTGTTCCTTTTGAAGTTCTTCACATTCACTTTGTAATTGTCAGTAAGCATGCTTCTTCACTACTCAATCCTAACTCCAGAGTTGTTACATATAAGCTTAAACTCATCAGCTCCAACACTGATCCCTGGAGAAACCAC